AAGAAGTTATCAGTATCCTTTAACTTTACTCTCCGCTATATATATAGATGATGTTCTCTCATCAAATGATTCAAAATCATGTGGAATTACGCATCTATCCCATCGAACTTGAGATAAAGGATACAACGTATACAGTTAAGTTTGCCTCATATCTTGACTTAAATCTGAAAATTGATAATGAGAGTCTAATTAAAAAAAAAACTTTACAACAGAGATGATATCAGCTTCCCAATTGTGAACTGTCCATTTCTATGTAACAACATTCCAACAGCGCCTGTATACAGAGTATATATATCCAAGTTGATACAATCAAAGGCTTGTATTTCTTATCTTAGAGTTCCAAATGATAAAGTTGAAATCATCTCTTCGTAAATTTTACGGACGCCATAACGAGTTGGTTGACCGTTACGGAATATCCGTTTCAAAAGATGATAGCGGATATGTTACAAATGTTAGTACTTCAATCCCGTCCCCTTTTCACGAATGTGACCTAACAAATTAGACGTATTAACGGGTTTGTACTAACAAGAGCAACATGACAGGTGCCACATGTGGAGCATGATCTGTGTACACTTCCGGAGCACCTGATATCACCCCCAGTTTTTGGTGGGGTTCGTGTTGCCTAGTCTTTAGTTTTACTATGTTGTGTTTTTTGTATACTATTGTTTGTCTTGTCTGTTGGTCTTTTTCTTTTTTAGCCATGGCGTTGTAAGTTTATTTTTTAGTTATGTGTTTGAATGTCCATCTGGTATCTTTTGCTCTCTTTTACACCCATCAGACCCTTTCCATTAACAAATACAAGTACACGTCAAATTATGGTGGTTGTATGTTTTACCCTTGCACGTATAAACAAGGTATTGAAGGATATCTGATGCCATAGGTCCCCAAAGAAAACCGGGAGCGAACCGTTTTTTTTTTCCTTTTGACAACCAGAGTCGTTGGGAAGTCTGATCACAGGTAAAGGAATATGAGAGTTCATCCAAACTTTTGTTTGTAGCATTGCACGTAGAATGTGATGTAAAAACGAGTTTTCACATGAAGAAATTCTTCCAACATAAGCATCCTTTGTGCTGCCAAATTTCACCTTAGGTTTGTTTAGATCATCATGTAGATTCCTGAACTTTCTTTTCTGACCATACAACGAAGCGACAAATGCACGTCCATTATTAACGGCGGTTTCTTGATCTGCAGTTGAAAAGCTTATAAGAAGAATTTGACATTTTCTGCACCCCTCTGCAAAAGTTTATATATGGAAATCCTACCTAGACCGAAAAAAGATGAACTTGTGTCGCAACCTGTCAGGGCATGGAAAGCTGGCAGTAGATTACAAATTGAAGGTCCAAGTGAACGAACATTTCATGGACTGGTAAGAAACACTATCCGTCTTTTAGATTTGCAAGTATAGACAAATAATGAACACAGAGCACTAATACTTCAGTGTCAGATTGTACAATAATACGACCTTTAATTCTTTTCGAGAACATTTATCATCTGCATACTACGTATGTAAAAGTAATCGAGTGTCTGCTTCTTCCTGTGTGCTGTATAAATCAACAGAAATTGACACACCGTCATTTGAATTTTTTTAACACCTCTTGGTTATTAAAAACACGCACCAGAATTAACACTGCGTCCCTTTCTAAAGTCGACTCTTCAAAATACCACTCGCAATGCTCACCAAGTATTCTGATCAGTGATTGTTTATTTTCTGCATTACACAGACACCTTTTTCCAATCTTGAATTGCTCTCCCTTCGATAACTTGATACACTTTTTGCGCTCCAAATGACTAAATACGACAGAGTCTTTCCGCAGCCTTGATTTAATGCTTTAAATCGTAGCGATTAAAAACATCAATTACATTTCCAGCATTGGGAAAAAATGTCAGCAGAATTTTGAGGTAGCTTTGAACAAGATCATTAAATGTGCTACATTTCTTGGCGTCCATACACTGAATAATTCCCATACCATCGCGTATAAAACTGTGTGTGATTTGTCATACATTGGAAGATTGAAAGAAGAGCACATTTTCGCTTTAAGGAGGTGAATTATATCAGATTTTCAACACTTCCACATTTTATCGTCATCGTGGAACAGAGCTGAAGATATGGGTGCAACAGCTATATACGATATGTCAAAATCCTGTCTACAGTCACATCGTCCCGAACATAGGAAAGAGCTAAAGCATGTCAAAATATTGTTTCTAGGTTTATATGTGCCTTAACAAAGTCGTTACATTTTTATTTTGAGGTCCTGGTCATATCCTCGAAGGTCTTGAGATACCTCGAAATAGGCTGTAGAAAACAGTCTAATTAAAGCAGCCTTCCACAAAAAATGTAATCATTTGGTTGCCACATTCTAGAGATTTGAAAAGATAATCCGGAACATCTTTTGGGGCTTGAATCCGTTTAGAAATATTTCTCAATGATTTAGGACGTTAAATGGATCGGTCATGTTTGAATGCACATACACAATGTACCTTATCAAATCAGAGACATTTTTCTCGTCTCATGTCATTGCCGTTGCCTTGGATTCTTTTCTTCATGTTCAGTGTGTGCGTCTGTGTGTAATACCGTTTTTTTTTCTTGTCAGTCCTGTGATGATGCTACAACCTCGGAATATTTAATGACAGTTTTCTCTGTAGCCATATCACTCCAGATACCATTACAGGCTCCAGGCTTTGTGTGATTGAAAATTCATCTGACAAAAAGGCGGATTTTACCGTTTCAGTCAGATTCAACATATCCAATATGTATGCTGGCGTCCACCTAACATAGTTTTTCTGGTTGGTATTAAAAAAGTATGGCAACATTGCAGGTACCGTTTGCAAATGTAGAAGCCACAACCCATTCCGTTCAGCCCTAATGATCCGTAAAAACAATCAAAAGTTGTTGATAGTTTTCAAGAGTGTGAAGTGAATTCTTCAAACAATGGTACATATGTGCTTTAAAAACAGAAAAGAAATCTTCAATACCTTCAGTACTTTTGCATGTTCCAGCAAATGAACTGCGACAGTCAAAGAAAGCTTTCCGCACATTTGGGTCAATACTGTTTAAACGGTTTTTGTCTTTGTACCAACTGAAGAATGCTTTAAACAAAAGAGCAATGGAAACCTTATAGGTCAAAGTTAAACCTCGAATACCATCATTAAACAGTTTGCTAACAAGAATCGATCTAATCTACTGTATTTGGAGTATAAACAAGTCAACAAGTAATTATATAAGTCATAAAGCCCAGGTGATGCCCATTACTTACCAACTGTTTCTATAAAACAAGAAAGCCCATATAATCCTTCGAGTCTTATAATGTGTGATTGAAATCATATGTCATTGACATTTACACCAAATAAAAATTCAGATTTAACCTCTAATAACCTTTTATCCAAACCGGTCCAAAATGGAATAATATGTTCAGTGCTTTCTGGAAAAAATGGATTCGAATTTAAGTTCTATCTTGAAACAAGTCGCAGAAATACCAAAGACATATATCTAGGTTTGCCATTAAAACAGACAAAATCTTTCCTTAAGCATTAGAATTACAAGGAGGTCCATATCGTTCTATTGGCTTGTCGAACGTTAAGCATGTCATAAGATTGGAATTAGAATCCCCCAACGCCAAAGATCTTTATAGTCCTCGTTTTACCTTAATGGAACTTATATGGGCGTTTGATGAGTCCTTTCGATACTGAAATACAGGTCTAGTCATTGTGTGAGATGTATTTTTTACCATCGATTGTCTCCCTCCTGTAATATACTACCACTTTCTTCAAATGCAGCAATACCATAAGGTATACAGGACATGTCTTAGATTCTGCCTATGTCATAATTCTTCAAAGTAGGATGCACAAAAACCATGGGAATTTAGATTTTTAATAGATTGTTTGTGCCGAACTCAATTGTAATGCCAAACAAAGATGAAATGGGGTAAAAAGATTTTTGTTTTAAGCAAAAATGCATTCTCATATTGCCACGACCTTAAACATTTTTGTCGGCAGGAAGTTCAGAAGCATTATCATCACTATTTTCAAGATATATCATCAATTATCAACAACAAACATTTCATTAGTAAGCAAGGAGTGTGTTGTGTTGAATATGCCAAAGATATTTCAAATGGAAGTTTCATTTGATATTTGAAAGGACTGCATTTGACTACGAAGTATTGAAGCAGCTACGTGCAATGTTTGATCTTCACTTAAAGTTGCTTTCTCAACCTCTGTGTCAATTTCGGACAGTTTCCATTCAGATTTTAGAGGGATAGCTGCTTGGATGGCTTCAGAAATCGTATATGAACTACTGAACATTATATTATATCTACCTTGACCCATTCTGTGCTTGAGTAACATTTGATTTTCCATAATGTTTTTTTCTAACCTACGCTGTAATTTGACAGTAGTGCACTTAGTTTTCAAATCATGAGGTAGAAAGAAACAGAATTTTCCAAACGAAAAGACATGAAAAAGGCTTATGTGTGAAGAAGCAAGGCTTCGTTCGTGTCATTAACTAGGCAACGAAAAGCCTCATCATGTTCAGAAATATCTTACTCATCCATTTATTCTTCTTTACCATACCCATCGTGGAGTCTGCGGTACATGTTATCTTTCTTGAATTTACAGCATTGATAAAGTTGTACTTCCCTTTTGCAGTTAGAGAGAGGGCAGTTTTTCACATTTGAAATATGACATATAATGCAACAATTCCAGTTGTTTGAATCACGGCTTATTTTTGCTCGCGAAGAAGTAAGCTTCATTAGACTACTAAAAGTAGACATAATCCGGGAATAAACCCTATCCGCTTCATCTGAATGATGATTTTATCTATTATTTGCATATTTGTTATTAGTGAGAGATTTTAATAAAAATATCAAAATGATATCTTCAAGTAGGTCAACCATACTATGTCATACTAATTGTAGGATTTATTGACATTTCAAGACATTGTTTTTTTGTTTGTTTTTTTTTTTTTTTTATCTCAAAAACGTTAATAGATAGGTATAAACGAGTCAGGAACTTTGGAGGCTCTTATTCAATTTACACACGGCAGTGTGTGTTTATACATTGAACAAGAAAGTTTGTACAAATATGTTTTTAATATTATTTTACTAGAACAAAACTCAGCGACCGCATGTTTTACTTTAAATTCAGGAGATAGATGATGATAAGCCTGAGTTTCGGCCGCATTCTAATCATAATTTATATAAGTCCATGTCGACGTCAGACATCTCATCGATTGTAAACGGTATGTCATTCCATCTCCGACAATCTATGAATTTATCATTTCCAATGTCAAACACTTTAGTGTTTTCTTGTGACAAGGCAAGTATTTCACATTCTTGGTAAATAAAAATAGAGCCCCAGTCATGCCCGCACTCAAGACCATGTGCCTTACAACGCTTATCCCAACCGTCGATTATTCTCTTTCTCTTTTTTGGTAATTCTTTTTGATCAACTCGTCTCAGTACTTCTTTATCTAAAACGATATAGAATTTCTCATTAACGTGTCGCATAAAATTTCCATGAGTTATTAAAAATCCGCAATATTTACAATGGACTGAATATAACGCTGGCCGACGCTGTTTGATTTTTAAAGTTTTAGAGTTTCTTTCTATCTCTTCCCTCTGGTAAATATCTTGCTCAGCAGTGGATATGTCAATATCAAATTGACAGAATTCTTCAATGGCTTTCGTCATTAAGTACTGTCTCTTGATATTTTTCTCCTCTAATTCAAATTCCCCTAACGTACCAACATGGATTTCTTTGCCCTCATCAATTTGGCGAACTCGCCCTACAAAAATAAGTTATGTTTCTATAGTTTTATTAAGTAAATGGTTAAAAACATAGATACATAGAGTTCTTCTTATAGATACATGAAATCTGAAGATAGTTTTGGCATGATGTAAAGTTTAAACTTAAACAAAAATGAAAAATAATTTTATGATGCTAGGCTAAGAACAGGTTACGCACGATGAAAATTAGCACAAGTATTTGTAAGTACGATTTTATAATAAATACTTAATTTAAATATTCATTTTGGATTTTTTAATAGATAGCGACATAACAAGTGACTTTATGCACTCAAACATGTAAAATGTCAACGAGATTATTACCCTAATAGTTTTTTATCAAAATTCTCTCTGAAGTTTTCTTTCTTTGCTTTTCCATTCGACTTAGTTGAACCTCAATTTTGTTAACCTCTTAATTTTAAAAATAATAAGTAACAGATAAATATTTACCTCGCATTTGCAAGCTGCTTATTTCATTTGCTCGAAACCTGTAACGTATCATCAAGTTACATAGTGGAATATCCAATCCCTCAGAAGCAACCGACGTTGCAACAACACATAAGTGTTCACCATTTCTGAAATTTTCCAAGACAGCCATCTGTTGATCAGTTGGAAGGCCTTTTAAATATATATAAAAAAAATCAAAGTGGTAAATATTGTCTTTGAATTGGGCATTTTAGTTGTTGCAAAGGAAAAGAAAAAGCTAAGTGACAGAACATATTAAAAAGTGGCACATATATTACTTTTACTGTTAAGTCTGTTTTTTTGTGATTTACATTTGACGTGACTCAGTACTTATGTATCCCGTCATACTTTGAACCACACAATTATTTTATTTATTAATATTACTTTTACTGTTAAGTCTGTTTTTGTGATATCCATTTTACGTGACTCTGTATTTATGTATCCCGTCATATTTTGAACGACAAAATTATTTTATGTCTACCTGTGCGAATTTCAAACGCGCAATTTTACGCCAGTACTTAAAACCTTCCATCCTTTATGGGTGGATTTTACATAGATAAATAAAATCGTATAATATAAGCAAAATGAGGATGTTAAATTTGATGTATGCCTTTTTGTGCTTCTTCGTTACATTTGTTTGTTTTTATAGTGATTAAGATGATAACACAATGTTAACTGCTGTACCCCTATTTTTGACATTTTTAACTATTGTGTCTGTTTGTTTTGTCACGCATCGTTGTCAATATAATGGAATTTGATGCGACTGTCATACAAGTGAGAGGTTTAGCTAGCTATAAAACCAGGTTCAATCCACCATTTTCTACATAAGAAAATGCCTGTACCAAGTCAGGAATATGACAGTTGTTATCCATTCGTTTGATGTGTTTGAGCTTTTGATTTTGCCATTTGATTATGACTTATATCTAGAAATTGACTATGCGGGTCGGTTGAAAATAAAACTTTACGACAAAAGAGATGATTTCAGCTTCCCAATTGTGGATTTTCATTTTTAAACCAAGAGTTCAAAATGGTGAAGTTGAAATCATCACTTTGTAAATTTTACGGACGCTATCACGAGTTGGTTGACCGTTATGGAATATCCGTTTCACAGATGATATCGGATATGTTCCTTATGTCGTAACTACAATCCCGTTCCCTTTTCACGAATGTGGCCTACCGAATTAGACTATTTACCCCTATTTGTGACATTTTTACCTGTTTTTGTTTGTTTTGTTCACACATCGTTGTCAATATAATGGAATTTGATGCGACTTTCATACAAGTGAGAGGTTTAGCTAGCTTTAAAACCAGGTTCAATCCACCATTTTCTACATAAGAAAATGCCTGTACCAAGTCAGGAATATGACAGTTGTTATCCATTCGTTTGATGTGTTTGACCTTTTGATTTTGCCATTTGATTGGGGACTTTCCTTTTTGAATTTTCCTCGGAGTTCAGTATTTTCGTGATTTTACTTTATGCATAATCGATTATTCGGTTCCTTACAATACGTAAATCTGCGTGGGTGTATCTCACAGTAAAAGTGATTATGCCTTATAGAGGAAAAGACATAAGCGATTAAATTTATGCATTCTTTACTCACAAGGAAGTATCAAACGTATAATGAATTAGTGATGGACTTTTGAACGTGGTTCAAATTGCGTTATCTCTCCTTTACCACAATAAATATCGATACAAAAGTAATTAATCAATAAACAATTGCCATATTTTTGCCAGATACGTCAGGCATTTCGAAACTATGATAGAAAGTAAACAAAACACCACTATAGTCATGTTGGAGGGATTGGGTTTCGTTAACTCAAGACTTTTCAACTCGAATTAAAGCATGCCTAAAATGATTATAGATTAAAAATAATAATTCGAAAGGTGTGTACCGAATGTCGCTTAGTCCATCTTTGTCTAGTAAAGGACACTCTTTTCTATTGTGATAAATGTTATGACACAGTAAATCAGTGAATGTACAAAAGTGACATATCAATGATAAATCATGTCAACAGAGGAATGTTGATAACTAGACTGGTTATTCCATCAATTACAAAAGCAGTGGCATCCATCCAGTGGTTGTAAAAAAAAACATCATCAATAATACTAGAATATCAATTTTCTATGCCAGACGCGCGTTCCTAAACAAGACTCACCAGAGGACTTCGAATCAAAACAGAAGTGAGACCAGATCAATTAAAGAATTGAAGAAAATTAAAAACAAAAGATGAAAAAATTAGCAATAATCTGGCTAATGCCATCAGTGTTTGGGGAAGAAAAACCCGTTTGCATTCATTTTGAATGATTAAAAAAGTTTTATTCACAGTAAGTACAACAACGATGGCTATCAATATTATTTCATGTGAACAGAAGCGTGATGACTACTGGGCTGGTTATACCTTCATTAAATCTCATAAAAAATACCAGTATTAAAAAGTATAACAAAAAATAAAACAAAACAAAAAAAAACTAAAAAACCGAACCACAAAGTACTTCCAAAAAGTTGAACTCCATAAAAAGCTTACAAAATGAAACGTTATCCGCCCAAAAGAACGAGTGAAAAATAACTTTCATATTCTGCACTTGGTACAGACATTTGCCAAAAAAAAGGTGGTTAGACAAGGTTTTATTGCTAGCATAACATCCAACTTGTATACAAATTTTGTAGACAATCATTGTAAACTAAAAGAACAAATTTACAAACAAACGTAGAAATTGGATCCAGATAACGTTGAATAAATGTTGAATTGAAATGACTTATAAAAATTTAAATAATTCGTTAAATCACGCTTTTTTGTTAATTTGCCAGCCGTGAGCAAGCATCAACCCTAGTGATCTAATGCATTTGATTATATATATATATATATATATATATATATATACATATATATATATATATATATATATATAAAAACTTTTTAGTTTAAAATGTTTAAGGTTGACGATTATTTTTCAAGGGCGTTTTATTTGATTATATTCAATAATGATTGCCTAAAAGTTATTTGCTCAAAACCAAATTGCTAGTATTTCATGTATATTTAGGATAAGAATAAATTCAACAATATATTCAAAAGGTAGATTCTGCAAATTTAATATATAGTCTGGCATTTCAAAATCTACTATTAAATGAAGGAGGCAGGCATTTCGTAACGGGCCACACACAGAACCTTCAACGAGTTGTTTTAAGTGATTTGGCAACTTTAGTAACGGGAAGAGAGCATGAAAATTCCCTACAGCAGATAACATACTTGAAGTTCATATTCTGACTAAACATATATTGCATTCAAACATCCAGCCCAGTCAAACGACCACTCTCTCTTGCAAAGGTTTAAAACATTTGTAAACTAATGTCGGGTTGATTCACTAGTAATGCCAGATGAGAGAAAAGAAGTGATGACCACATGAGTATTTTGTTACCCTTATTTACTTATGATCATAGAAACATAAACCATAAATGACTTTTACCTCCTTGAGTTATACATTTGTGTGATCCTGTCAGGTATGTGCTTCGGAGATAACCAGGCAATATATCCTTAAGAGCTATTGCTGTGGCTCTTGTTTTAACAAATATTAGAAATCTTGATTCTTCTTTGCGTTTTCTATATTCGCTCTCTAATAATTCAATAACTTCTTTAACATCAGGGTTTCTTTCGATATTTCTTCCAATTTCCCGGATATCGACAAAAACGTCTGTCAGAAATTAAGATTTATACTCAAATTAGTTTTTAATACTCATAAACCCAAAACCCCGAAAAAAAATAAATTTATTAAACATGGCGACATATAACTCAGTTCAACAACTTCCATTGGTCTCTGGTAGATATTTGCGCTATAAGCAATCATATCACATACCTTGATTTTTACATATTTCAAGCTTTGCATACAGTCTATTTCGTATAATGATTATTGTTTCACCTCCAATCCAGAAAATATCTCATAAAACATATCATTTAGCCTGTAGTTATGGTAGTATGCACAGTTAGATTGAGATTTATCTCATTGGCACTCATACCACATCTTTGTATTATTTCTATTAATCAGTTCATTTATGTCATACAGAAGTGACAGTTATTTTACCAATACAAAATGTCAATAAAGCAATACTGTTGTTTTCATTGCTTTTTTAATAAATACGATAATGATTATTTGCAGTAGTTAATTACCTAAATAAACTCGTATTGAATGATCAATTAAGATGTAGATACTATTTGAGATTTTGTTTTTTTAAATATCAGAAATTTAAAGAAAGCAGATAATTTGAAACTTACGTAAATGACTGATTGTTTCATGTATATCATAAACCCTTTTTATTACCTTTTAGTTTATTGACAATTTCAGTCTCCTCTTTCGTTTTTGCATTTTGACTTGCAGCGGACTCAACTGCGTATCCTTGTGTAATAACATTACAAACTTGATTAATCTCCAACAATGAATTTACTTCAAGACATTCTGTGTATAGCTTAAAAAGATAACGAACATACCAAAAGGGCAATAAAAACAAAAAACGTATGTCGAAACATAAAAACAATATTCAATTACACCACCCCCTAAAAAAGTAACAACAAAAACACGCAATTCGAAAACACATAACATAAAACAAAAAAGATGTCAAACAAACTGGGGAAATTCGGACGATTTGCCAATAATTCAGCAGTTCCTGTTGCATCAATCTCAGCCGTAATTTTTTTTACTGTTAACTCTCACTGTTTAGTCATATCAGATGATTTGTATCAATATATTGGCAAATTGCCCCATGACATATAAAAGTTTATGGCTCAATGTCGGATGAAAAATCGCTTTAATCATACTTGACCTAATGTGAATGTAGGAGATGAAAACATTCTTCTAAGACCAAAGTAATGACCAGAGTCACTGGTAGATACAACACAGACAAATTACAAGAACATAGGTAGAAACAATCACAAAAAGTAACACCGACTGTGATGGAAAAGTAGTTCCGTCGTATGCCCAAGCAATTATGTACGTTCATTCATCACCTATGAAAATCTACTAAAAAATATCTACCCATTTGATTTCTTATATCTAAAGAATAAACTAGTAATGAAAAATCAATATTATTAAATGTTTCTCTGTACCTCTAAGTGTCTGAAACATGCATGTAGTAGCCTTGGTACAGCTGGATCTTTGTGTAATACATGTTCTACTGCATCTTTGGTTTTTACAGTCCATTGGATGTAACGGATTTCGGTCCTTTCTTTCGGGAGATTACTTAATGCTTCATACAGGTCTCGACAATCATCCATGTGCTCGATAAGAAAGTTTGAGACTTGAAAAAAATATGTAAAAGAACTATAATTATAGGAGTTACTGAATTTTATAAACAAGTGATCAGTTTATGCATTGTTGGTAAAATTCGTTGGTTACGGACCTACCCCTTTTCCATTAACATGATTAAGAAAAAAAATATCTTCAACATAAATTTATTTTCCCTTTAAATGTTCTTGTTCCTACCCATACAATCCACACCAACTGTAGTTTATGCGTCCTGTTATTCTTCCTTTATTTTCAACAAGCATAAGGAAATATCCTGGATATAATTATAATGAAAAGTCTGTTGCTCATCTCGGGCATATTTCATGAACGACATTTCCATAAATATCATACAAAGTGAGGACATTTATAAAATATAAACACATGTTAACCTTTTCGTTTCTGTATAGAATTGTACGATCAACAACCGAATTATGAAGGAATGTCTGATTATCACTCTTCAGTTGATCAAACTTTTGTTACGTCTGATCCTGATTATTGCTCAATCTTTTTTAGAATAGTTCGCCTCTCTTGTATAGCGAATTTAGAAAATAAAATAGGTCGAAGATACCAAAAGAACATGTCAAAGAGAAATAGACATCGTAATAGCTAAAACAAAAAAACGAAAATAAAAAATCAACCCTCAAAACACCACACACAAAACTAGACTAAGCAACACGAACCCCATCAAATATTGGGTGTGATCTCAGTTGGGAGTATTTAGTTGACTCAAACTAATGTCACCCTTTACATTATTTAAGTGTAGTCTACTAAGAAACGAATTAAAACGAAATTCTTATTTATTGATTGAAACAACAATAAACACATAGTTGGTGGTTGTGTAATTTTACTGTTTTCAGTACATTTAACAATTATATATATTTTTTGTTAATAACCTTTGGATTTTTGCATCGATCACCACTGAAGAGACATTTATTATCGAAATACACATCTGATGCAGTAAAATTTGTTAAATAAATGTTATTAAGATATGAAGCTATGAGATATCACCTCCAAATGAAACCCCCGAATTAACTCTATTGAGCGATTAAAGGGTCTGTCACTGCAGTTAAAAATATATAAGTGGTTTTGGAAGGGGATCATAACAGTTTTGATATCTTTAAAAATGACGATATATAAGAAGACGGGACACGTCCAATGAGATAAGTATATGAAGTTCTGTAAGGTAAATGCCAATGTCTAGTAACTATAATTGCGTCTTCATAAATAAAACAATAAAAAAAAAACAGATAAACAGTGACTTGAGTTAACAAATATTTTTCAATCCGAATTATAACATTTGAGTTTATGACTTTTTATCAAAAGAAATTTGTTTATTGCAATACCGATAAACAGAAATTTGACATTCAACGTTTGTAAGGCTACTTATTACATGTATCTCTTACAATATGAATATACCTTTCCGACAATTGAACATATTTTCCACAAAATCCATTGCTCTCATGATTATTTTCTTCAAAGGATCGTCTTGGCGTGGATTCGAAGTAATTAATACTGGAAGAAAAAAAATATTTGTTTTCTTTTGCCTGCCATATATACTGAATTTCCTTTCTTTTTCATTGTTAGCAATAAAGCGGACTATTTAATGTTCCATGTAACATAAGATAGGGTCAACCAACAAATTATATGGAAAATGCTTTGAATACAATATATTGCAATTGAAAAATGCTTTTTTTTTCATATAATATGTTTCATTTTTCAAATAAGCTTGTTTTTCACCATATATATATATCAATGCTATAATGATTACATTCATTGAATACATTGATGTACACTTTTCGAGTAGCTAAAAAGGTCCTTGTGATAACATTTCGACCAAACAATAAGGAAACAGGAAGTAGTAATATTTGATTATATAAGCATACTAAGTACATTTAACAAAACTTACTGGTATATTGTTTAGAAACTTATTTGTGTCCTGTGTCCAACAAGTTTTCTAAAAAAAAATTATTAGATCCGCTTACTACCAAATGTTTGTAAAAGTCCTCGATAGTAAACGTTTGGAAGTTTATAAATCGAAAAGACCTTCATAGAACAACCATTACTGACAAAGGGAAACAGTTGTCTGAGTGATTTGCTACTTTAGTTTCAGTACATATCTTACTTACATAAATTACAAACAAAATGTATCATTTAAATAATATATTCAAGTTCTCTTACTTTTTTCAGGAATAGTTGTGTACTTCAGGAGTTCTTTTTTTTTAGTTTGACAATAGACAGCTTTGAAACCGCTAAATTTGTCATCACGTTTCGTAAGTGATGTTTGGCAGATAGTACATCTGTTGCCTTGTTTGTGCCTGGCGATGCTGTTAAACCCAATATCTTCAAATAATCAAGCATATAGATAAAAATAAACGGAGTTTCTTAATATAGTATTGTAATGCTCATATTGTTTATGTTTCCAAGCATTTGATTAAGGTATAACATGTTCGAAGCAACTATGTAGGGCATATTTTTATCCCGTTTTCTTGAGCCGAATAGCACATATATTTTTAACGGAAAAGAATTGTGTTTTACATGTTTTATTTTAGTTGATTTAATAGTAATATTTAAAAAGCGGAATTATAGTTAAAAACTCCAGAGTCCCGTTACTTGCAAAGATTTTGTTATAATCGAAGTAAACACAATTATATTGTCAATTATGTACCAGTGAAAAAGATGTAGTAGTAATTTGTCACTAACTATTCTAATGTCAATGCTAATAGGGCGAAGTTTTATGTCAACTAACATATTCATTTACCTGAGGTAAAGATGAAATCTTTTCTCCATATTTGGCCTTTCTATAATATGACATCAATTCGTTATAGTTACTTTTATCGAACGTGTGATGACATTCATCGAGGACAATCAAAGTAAAATCCGCTATTGAGACCTTAGCTGTTGCTTTTTCTGTTAAACGATTACTAAGGGATTGTGGAGTCAAAAAAATCAAGCTTGAATTCTTTATTGTGTTTACAAAATAATCATTGTCATCTTCTTCTGCTTTCCATATCTTAATTTTCGCCTTGAAAATAAATAAAAATGAAATATATATAACTTTTTTAATGTGCCTTTAATTTTGGATTAATACATGTTAGGAACATAGACAAGTGAAACAATAATTTGAAAACGTGCATTTGTTATTTCCGAAAGTTTGGATTACATACTATGGTGTTTAGAAATTAGGTTTTTCAAATCAAAATGAAGCATATTGGGCACGTTGAGTTAACTCAGCAATATCCGTTTTTGGCCCAAGTATTATCAAGCATGACATGGCCAATGATATCAAAACAAATAACTAATACATATTCACCGTCTGCATTTTCATATGGAGTTGAATATGAGGAAATGACACGAAAATATACAAAACATCGTATATGACATTAGATGCTAGTCTATGTGCGTGTACACGTAATATTTTTTTTACAACAAAATATAAGACTTAAGGATTAGGAGTCCTCAATAGATGTGTTCAACTCCGCCACATTTTGTATATGCCTGTCCTAAATCAACAGCCTGCACATCGTTAAGTGTCGTGGGATACTGTATATGTTTTAAATAAAAGAGGTCGTGAGTTTTTTTAGATTGATTTGTTTTACATTTTATTTTAGCGTCTTTTATATCTGGCTATTATCATGGGTTTTGCTCGTTGTCAAAGGCCGTACAGTGACCTATAATTGCAAACAAACTTCAAAGTCATCTGGTCTGTGGTGGAAAGTTGCCATAATGACATTCATACCGCATCTTCTTGTTTGAAATTAAGAATGTTTTTCTTATTTCTAAACTGCTGTATAAAGTGTTTCGAAAGGAAGTCTGTTGGAAGCAGTAGTTCAAATGTTTAAAGGTCACCATCACGAACTAGTGTATGTGGCTATCTTTATACTTTTTTTCATATGTTGAATCGTGCAAACCAATAAGGTTTAATTAAACCCGCAGGCTAGTAAGTTGTCCTTAATCATGCATTAAATGCATGATTATCATTTAAAGCTTATTGAACATTCAAATTCCAACAAAATGATCTAGTTTATAACTGGATTACTAGTACTTGGTTTGTAGTCCTTGGCAAGATCCGAGTACCACACAAACTGGTGTATTTCTAGCGTTGTAGCAAATAACGCTGTCAAGACAAATGATTTGTGCTTTTGAAATGCATATTCTTGCTGAATTTTTTTTTTTATATAATCTATTATATTGTCTAATAATGTTTATATCCTGTTATCACTGTTGAGTGTACTTCTCTTGGAATGAATTTAAGCAAAAAGTCACAGATTGAAAATTAAAATCGAAAAACACAACAGGAGGTTCAGCTAAATATACAATTCATTTACCTGATAAAACAGCGTCGAAAAAACACTACATGCTCTTTCATATTGTTGTCCTAAGAGAATATTTGTTCTGTTAATAAATGCAACCTTTCCTGTAAGAGTACATTGAATGATTGCCAATAAATTGATTTAATGGAAACGAAATAGCATTGATTATTTATATACATTAAGCATGTTAAGTCTCATTATATTGGCTCTTTTTAATCAAGAATATTGATTTCTTAATTTTAAAATTGAGAATTGAAATGGGGAATGTGTCAAAGAGACAACAACCCGACTAAAGAGCAGAAAACAGCCCAAGGCTACCAATGGGTCTTCAACACAACGAGAAAATCCCACAACCGGAGGCGGGCTTCAGCTGCCCCTAAACAAAACTTTGTACTAATTCAATGAAAATGAACGTCACACAAAACTCCAAAACATAGAAATGAACTAAAACTGAAATTTTTTTTACAAAACTAACAAAGGCCAGAGCCTCCTGACTTGGGACAGGTGCAAAAATGCAGCGGGGTTAAACAAGTTTTGTGAGATCTCAACCCTCCACGTATACCTATAACCAATGTAGAATAAACAAACACACAGCAATACGCACAGTAAAACTCAGTTTAAAAGAATTCCGAGTCCGATATCAGAATAGGTAACAAAAGAAACTAAACAAAATGACTATGATACATACATTAACAAAGCACTTCTAGCAGTTACTGACATGCCAGCTCCAGGCCTCAATTAAACTGATTGAAATATTATGTCTTCATCATATGAAAATCAAGCACAATCCCTCCTGTTGGCGGTTTAGTATCATACCATCATACAATATATGAGAAGAGAACATAACCCGTATCATGGCACCAACTGGTTTTAGAATGAATGTGTTTATTTCCGATGCAAAGATCCTATGAGTGAAGCAATATTAATACCAAAATATGCCATCTTTAATGACCTGATAACAGTATTGTAGCTATATCCCTTCTGAATGAGTCTGTTTAAAGGTTTGGTTAGCTTTTGAGGTGAATGCCGACATTCTTGTGCTTTGTATATAGAATATTACTATACAAGATTGGATGTGAAATACCTGAACGTATTAGATGTCTGCATGTTGATTTATATTTACAAATGATGTCCTAGTACCGATGATAAAGTTCACTAAATGTTTTGACTAGTTTGTGAAATTGAAAACCCTGGTGTTGTAATTTTTCAGTAATATAGAGATTTCTGACGTTCTTTCGTTAAAATCATATACGTTGTTACATACACGAGCGAATCTACTAAGCTGAGGTATATAAACACCATAAGATGGTTACAAGGGAACGTCACCATCTACAAATGGATAATTAACAATAGGAAATTAAAAATCATCTCTTTTATTCTAAACTTTTGTATTCCCGTTAAAGATATAGATATCAAGATCCAGGAAATCGCAGTATTCATTGTTAGTATTAGTTTTATGTAAAGTCAGTTTAATGTACATACTGAAGTCGTCATTATTGAGAGCCAATATATCATCCAAATATCTAAAAGTGTTATCAAATTTTTGTATCAGATGTTGTTTCGATGGGTCTTTGCTGATTTAAGTAATACTATGTAACTCATAACAATACAGAAACAGGTCCGCAATTAGAGGTGCACAGTTACATTTGTGTAGTCTTCATTGGAATTCCTTTGAATTGTTTTTTGATGTCTTAGAATTTTACAGACATTAAATTATCGATGCTTACTTTGATGTGTTTTATTAGAAAATGAAGCATAGAAAGGAAATCACAGAATAATTTCTTCTATAAACAAAACAGAGGTAATATTTGTAGGAAAGGTGTTAAGTAATTGGTCAATTTATATTATCATCATTTTTCGACATTTGCTGGGAAGAGGTCAAATATTAATTTTGAAAGGCTTTTTATCTACAAATTTATTATTTATTGCTAGAAGTACTTCATACATCTTACCATCAGGATTATTAATGAGATGATCTTCTATGATGTGGAATGCTATATAAGTCTTTCCCGAATTCGTACCAGCGCATATAATAGTATTTTGTCCTGCCAAGGCTATCACGGCAAGTTCTTCCTGGTACTGTCGGAGACTTACCAGACAAGGTTTTCTCTCTGTAAATAAACGATGTAATTGGAAAAACGAAGAAAAAAAGATAAACGTACAATCTATCCGCTCGTTTGAAAAATGACATGGGTATTTGTATGTGTCTTATATATGAAACAGAATAATGGCAAAAAGTTCTTTCAAAATAATTTGACAGCCAAAGATGAAACATAATAAAAAAATACAAAGTTTTGGGTTGGCCATTTTTCCTAAAAATCTTGTTTTTCCTTTTATCGTTTTCTCTTTTATGTGAGAATACATCAACTAAATCATTGGACGTAATTCCCGGTAATTCTGTTCCTGAGGGGATACATTTCTAGGCAGAAGTAATGACACATGTCTAGTTTATATTTCTTGCGTCACAATTCAGGGGTATGAAAATGCTTTCCTACAATGATTTTTTATTGTCTTTCTGTTACACTATTTGTTGCTAATTTGAATCCTATAATGTTAGCTGCCAATCTTAAATACAAGTTACGTAAACTAACTTTACATTAATTTTATTGACACAAACTCTGAATTTGCTTTTTTGTAGGTTAATTCGAAATTGAATGGAGTATTCGTACGTTATGCTAACATTTAACGTTACCTTCCACTGAATAATAAGTAGTAAAAGGTAACGTTATAATATGGGATGAAGATGGGTTTATAAATCTACAACACCCTAGATAAACGATGTTAAAATAAAGAGCATTTGAATATTTTGGTCTTCCAACTGTTTTTATTCTAGAGCCATGGATGAGCTTAATGTATATGAAACATGCGTCTTGTTTACAAACTTATAAGCCTGGGATATTGTATGAGATTTATTATGCTCTTTAGATATACCTTTCAAAGAAACTATCAAAACCGACTTAATCGTTTTCAAGTACATCGAAGTTGATTATTCAGATTTTCAGTAGAGTAAACCGAACATACACAATACT